GTGCAGTACCATAAGAACAACAGCAGTTCTACAGCACGGGGCCCTTTCTGGTTAAATGAATTCAGTTTCCCTGAAGCCAGTGAGGCTCAGGTGAGCTCTAGCAGTGGCTCTGCTGTCACCCTGCAGACCATGGCCCTCCACCCGCGGCGGGTGCGCCTGAAGCCGTGGCTGGTGGCCCAGGTGGACAGCGGGATGTACCCCGGGCTGATCTGGCTGAACCGCGAGGCGAAGCGCTTCCAGATCCCCTGGAAACACGCGACTCGGCACAGCCCCCAGCACGAGGAGGAGAACACCATCTTCAAGGTGAGAGAGGGGGAGCTCGGCCATCCCACGGCTCTGGAACAGACACAAAGGGCTGGATTGTTGGCCCGGGAGCTGGGCAGGCATCTTGGGAGCTGTTTGCAGGCACATTTTATTTATCTGACCTCAGAAAAGCCACTTTGTGCACCTGGATGCCAAGCCTGGCACTGCCTGGGATGGTGTTGAGTTCTTTAACCCTTTCCCACCACCAAAGGCCAGATGCTGTGTGATCCATGGTCTCGGGAAGATGACTGCTGTTGGCTTCATCTGCTCAGGCTGGGATGTGGTCACTGGCTTGTTCTTGGCAGCAAACCATGAAATGCTGTTACATAAGTCTTAAGAGGTCCACCGCAAGCTCATCACAAGCACTCATCGCTGCTGTCCCTAATATTCTTATCCCAAGGGATTCACTGTAACTCTCTGCACTCCTTTGAGGAATTTCTGACCTTTGTCTTGGAGGCATCTTGGACCAATAATCAGATTTTGGGGTGAGAGAGGGAGAGGCCAGCCAGATGTCTGTGGCTGTTCTTCCACTCCATTTTAACCGAGTCCATTCATCCTGCACAGGCTCCCTGTCAAATATTACTTCTGGTGTTGAATCTGAGACCCACAAAAGCTCTGACCCAGAATTGTGAATGTTTTTTTTGGAATTTGGATTTCCATCTTTTTCTCTCCACCTTCTTTTAATAGAAAAACTATTAAAGTAGGAATTTCCTTCTTTGTTATCACAAGCGTTCTAATTAAGACTTCTGCACGAGAAGGATTTTACGGTGGATTTGTTTGGAAGTTTGGTTTCTGATAAAAGCTGCTCTGTGGGGAGGGCTGGACTGAGCTGGCTGTACTTTGTCCCCAGGCCTGGGCCGTGGAAACGGGAAAGTACCAGGAAGGAGTGGATGAGCCAGACCCTGCAAAGTGGAAAGCCCAGCTCCGATGTGCACTTAACAAGAGCCGGGAGTTTAATTTGATGTACGATGGCACCAAGGAGGTGCCCATGAACCCCATCAAAATTTATGAAGTGTGCGACATCCCGCAGTCCCAGGGATCAATCATTAATCCAGGTGAGGGCCGGGCTGGCTCCCGGCTGGCTCCTGGGCAGGCGTTGGTCCAAGGGAGCTCCTTCCCTCTCTGCATTAACTCTCCAGCTGCCCTTGTGCAGCAGAAGCAGCTGCCAGCTGAAGCCTGCATTTAAACTAAAAGGATTTTGAACCATCCTTTAGTCCTAAAATTAAAAGAGCCACACACAGTTGTATGTTTTCCTGCTAAACAATCTAATATTGGCAATACTGTGTCTTACTTCATCAATACTTTAACCTTCGCTTTCTAGAATTATATATTAAACTGAAATTAGAATGTTGTATGGATCAGATTTATCCTTTTTTACTGAAATTTGAAAAATACACAAGTTAATATCCAACACGAAGATATTTTTCCAGTGTTTCATGCTGATCATCCACCCACAAGAATGTGCTTGTTTGCAGGTTCCACTGGCTCAGCTCCGTGGGATGAAAAGGATAATGATCTTGATGATGAAGAGGAGGAAGAACTGAATCAATCTCAGCATGTCCCAATACAAGAGACATTTCCATTTCTTAATATCAATGGTTGGTGGCACAGACTAATGTATTAGTGAAGGTATTTGTTAGTAAATTGCTGAATGCTTGAAATAAAATCTGGATTCATTGAGGAGTTGTTCCCTTTTTGTAGATTCTCCAATGGCTCCAGCCAGTGCAGAAAACTGCAGCTCTGAAACTGTGTGGCCAAAGAATGAACCCCTGGATATGGAAATGCCCCCAACGGCGCTGCAGCACGACTTCTTCAGCAGCCCCGAGCTCTGGATCAGCTCCCTGCCAAGTACGTGCATGGGCTTGTAACAGTGCTTCTGTTTTGTACTTGAAAACCTCACAGAAAATGGTATTTTGCCATTTTTCCTGTGGCTGTTTGTGAGTGAGTGAGGAGAATGTGTGTAGTTTAAATAGAATTGTGTGTGGTGTAAACATCCCCACGAGGGCAGCAGGGCTGGCGTGGTGTCCCTGCTGCTGGTGCTCCAGGAAAAGCCATGCTGATGGTTTCTCTCTCAGTGACAGACCTAGAAATCAAGTTTGAGTATCGAGGAAAGGAGACCGGACCCACAACGACTGTGAGCAACCCTCAGGGCTGCAGACTTTTCTACGGAGAGCTGGGTCCCATGCCAGACCAGGAGGAGCTCTTTGGGCCCATCAGTTTGGAGCAAGTCAAGTTTCCAGGGACAGAGCAGATCACCAATGAAAGGCAGAAGGTGTTCACGAGTCGGCTGCTGGACGTTATGGACAGGGGACTGATCCTGGAGGTCAGCGGCCACGCCATCTACGCCGTGCGGCTCTGCCAGTGCAAGGTGTACTGGTCTGGGCCCTGTGCCCCCTCCTCCACCACCCCAAACCTGATCGAGAGGCAGAAGAAGGTCAAGCTCTTCTGTCTGGAAACGTTCCTAAGCGGTAGGTAACTTCTGCTTCTGGAAAACGGCTTTGGACACTGGTCATGGTGCTGTTGGAAAGGGCGGTCTGCACCAGACTCTGCCTGGATGCAGCAGGTGTGGACAGCAGGTTGGGGACACTGCTCCCCTGACTTGGAGCAGGAGTGCGGCAGGAGAAGGGCGCTGTAGACTCCTTTAATGCTCTGAGGCACATCAGGGGGCCTTGCTTTTAAAGAAAGCACTTCACGTGCGAGGAGTGAGCTGTAAGTGTGTGAGAGGTGGCAGAGGACAGTGTGTAGGTAAGACCGGGGGTGATGCAATGAGGTGGGATGTCGTGGGTGTTCCCAGCCTAAAGAGCACAACCCTGCAGCACTCTGCTTCTCTTCCTAGAGCTGATTGCCCATCAGAAGGGACAAATTGAGAAACAGCCACCGTACGAGATCTACTTCTGCTTTGGAGAGGAGTGGCCTGATGGAAAACCCAGGGAGAGGAAGCTGATCGTGGTGCAGGTAGGGCTCTGGGGCTCTGGGGCGACATGTGCCAGCCTTGTTTGGTTTGGGATCAATTCCCATGGATACTGAGACCTGTTCTTTTCTGCTGTGGCTTCTGACACCAGGAAAACTGCAGTAAGACTGGTGGTTTGGGAGAGCAAATAGAAATGTGACATGTGCTGAACAGAATTGGTTTGTGAGTGCGTTTTAGGGTATTGTGGAAAGCATCTCTGCATCCAGGACAGGGGCTCTGCGGAGTAGCAGGGATATTCCACATGCCTTCAGGCTAACAATGGGGACTTCTCCAACAGGTCATCCCCGTTGTGGCGCGGATGATCTACGAGATGTTCTCCGGGGACTTCACGCGCTCCTTTGACAGCGGCAGCGTGCGGCTGCAGATCTCCACGCCCGACATCAAGGACAACATCGTGGCACACCTGAAGCAGCTGTACCGGCTGCTGCAGAACCACCAGGAGGGCTGGCCCATGCAGGCCCCGGCCCTGCACATGGCACAGCCGCTCCCAGCGCAGTGACCGGGCATTCCGGGGCTTCTGGCCTTGTACATATACAGAAGTGTTCCTTAACCTGTGCCTTGCCTGAACCTGAATAAACCAAATCTGTACATCTCGTCATCTTCTACAATTTCAGCAGTTTGTGGTGCTTTTGTTTTGGAAGTGGTGCAAAATGGAGGGAACATTTTTTACTCCTTCACCATTCTCAGCTATTTGCTTAAACAACCCCTCTGTATAAATCAGATTTCAATTCTGTAATATTTTTTAATCTGCTATAATACAATGTATATAAACACTTGATCATTAGAGGGAAAGAGAAGAATCTGTGCTCTATTAAAATTGCCTTGACAATATCACCTTGTCTCCTTTTTTTCTCTTTAATGGGGCTGTGGTAGCAACCTCAAAGGCTGATGCTCCTTACAGTGTGGGGGTTTTTTATAGGGATGCATATATAACAGAATGGGGCTGGAAGGGACCTCTGGAGCTTCTCTAGTCTCCTCTGGGCACTGATCGTTCAGATCTGTACAACCCTGAGCACTCAGTGATGGTACAGAGCTGCCAGCGGCTCCCAGCACGGCTCAGCGCTGTTCCTGCATTGCCTGGTTTGTGCCCAGGCTGAGCTCTGCTCCTGCGCCCTGCTTTGTGCCTGGGCTGTGATCTCTGGGAGCTCTGCTCCTGTGCCCTGTCCCTGTGCCCAGGCACTGAGCTCTGTGAGCCCTGCTCCTGTGCCCTGTTCCTGTGCCCAGGCTGTGAGCTCTGTTCCTGTGCCCTGTTCCTGTGCCCGGGCTGTGAGCTCTGCTCCTGTGCCCAGGCTGTGATCTCTGGGAGCTCTGCTCCTGTGCCCAGGCTGTGATCTCTGGGAGCTCTGCTCCTGTGCCCTGTTCCTGTGCCTAGACTGTGAGCTCTGCTCCTGCGCCCTGCTTTGTGCCCGGGCTGTGAGCTCTGTTCCTGTGAACTGTTCCCGTACCCAGGCTGGGAGCTCTGCTCCTGCGCCCTGCTTTGTGCCCAGGCTGTGAGCTTTGAGAGCCCTGTTCCTGTGCCCTGTTCCTATGCCCAGCCTGTGAGCTTTAGGAGCTCTGCTCCTGTACCCTGACCCTGTGCCCAGGCCCGGCTCCCGGCCCTTCTCCCCGGTTCCGGCCCTTCTCCCCGGTTCCGGCCCTTCTCCCCGGTTCCGGCCCTTCCCTCGGCCGTGCCGAGGCTGCCCCGCCCAGCAGCCGGCGGGGCCGGGGCCGCGCTCGGGCCCGCCCCGGAACCGCGCGGGCCCCGCTGATGGCGGCGGGCCTGGGGCCGGTTCCGGTGCCGGTGCCGGTTCCGGTGCCGCTGCCGGTTCCGCTGCCGGTGCCGCTGCTGGTGGCGGCGGCCCGCGAGGCGCAGGGCCCCGGGCGGCGGCGGCAGCGGTTGCCCGCGGCGCGGGCGCTGCAGGCGGCCGGGGAGGTGCTGGCGGTGGCGGCGGGGCTGAAGCCGGCGCTGCTGTGGGAGTGCGGGCCGGCGGGCGCGGCCGAGCTGCGGCGGTACCTGCAGCGGCTGCGGGCGGCGGGGCTGTTGGCGGCGCGGCTGCACGTTCTGGCGCTGGGCGGCTCGGCGCTGGTGCTGCGGCCGGGCCCGGCCCTGGCCCGGCTGCTCCGCGCCCGGCCCGCGCCGCTGCTGGACGTGTCGGCGGCGCGGGGCCGCCCGGCGCTGCTCGGCCCCGCCGAGGCCCGCGCCCTGCGCCGCCGCCTCGCCGCCCTGCTGGGCCGCCTGCGCCACGCCGAGGCCGCGGCCGCCGAGCCCGTGACCGCCAGCGAGGCGGCCGCCGGCGAGTGGAGCCCGTGCGCCGTGGCCGGGGTGCTGCTGGGCTACCCCGCCGTGTACAGCCTGGCCGAGGGCGCCGAGAACTGCCTGGCGCTGACCCCGCTGCGGGTGTTCACGGCCCAGGCCGCCTGCCCCCGCATCAAGGATGGGCTCCGGGTGCGCATCTGCTCCTTCAGCGTCCCGGAGAGCCTCTGCGCCGAGCTCCGCGACCTGCTGGATGCCTGGTGCCGAGAGCTCCGGGAGGCCTTCGCTGCCCAGAGCGATTTTGTAGATCTCTGCATTTCCAGCGAGGTCGTGTCTCTTCCAGCGGTTGCCTTGTAAAACGCGAGCATACTCAGACTTTTTAGCCTTCCTCACTGCATCAGGGACCGAGGCAGAAGATCCAGCTCCATGTGTGTGTTGTTGCCTGCATCTCTCATGGTCCTTGAGCGCTGAAGGCTGAATTGTGACTGTCACCGCAGGCCGGTGGCAAAACCAAATACATTTTCTTTTAAAGAACAACGAGTGTGCTCCCAGATACTCTGCTGTCTCAGTCCTGCCTGCCTGCACGTTGCACCCTGCAAAGTCAGCGTGTATTTATTTGCAGTGGGCAGCTGAAGATTAATAAATGATTTGAACACTCCAGTGCTTTGAATTAGTGAAGTTTATTGTCAGCTCCATGTGTATTTACTATGTGTACAGTGGGATAGAACAGGGCCCGTTGGGTGTGAGGTGGGAGAGTTGCTGAGGGCACGTGAGGGGACTGTGCTGAAGAGCCCCCTGAGCTGGGCTCCTCTGTCAGTAAGAGATGGCTCAGGATCGAGTACCTCCCATTCAGGGAGGCAATAAATGCAGGAGGAGAACCTGGGGATATAAACCCCAGGCAGGCTGGATGCCAAGGGCACAGGATGCCCAGGACGCCCTCTCGCCCTGTGCAGGTCACAGCAGCACAGGGCTCTGTCCCTCGGTGCCTCGGGGACTGTCAGGGCAGCCTTGGGCAGGAGCAGAGTAACCAGGGCCGCCGAGGGAAGGGGTGATGTCCCCGCGTTCAGGGAAGGGGTGATGTCCCCGCGTTCACAGGAGCTGTCTGGAGTGAGACCAGCTCGGCATACGAACCCAATGTGCACATACAAAACAGCAGAAGGTGAGGTGAGCTCAGGCTGCTTTTGGTGAAGCAGAGGTCAGTTCCTGCAGTGAAGTCAGTCGTCAAGGAGCTCCTTCACAGCCCGTAACTCGCCAGGAAGGCGGCGATGGCCACTGCTGCCACTGCCAGCAGGAGAGGGATGCAGGCACCGCGCCGCCTCTGCCAGGAGAAGCTCGTGTTAGCAGGAGTGCGCTGGGGCTGCCACTTCCATCCCAGCCCAGCAAATGTGCCCTTGTTGGCACAACGGGGGTCTGTCCCGGAGCTCCCACCTGCGCCTGGCTGCCGTGGCAGCGGTTGAGCTCGTCGCGGCACTGGCGCAGCCGCGTCAGGCAGGACTGGTACTCCTGGCTCAGCGCCTCCAGCTCCGAGCGCAGCTCCGAGCACTGCGGGCACAGCCAGGGGCTCTCGGCAGGAGCGCTGCCTGGGGCTCTGCAGGCACCGGGGGCGGCCGGGCAGCTGCAGCCGCTGCAGCGCTGTGCCCGGGCACTGCCCGGCTCTGCCCGAGCGCCCTCGGGTACCTGCGGGGACAGAGCGCAGCTCAGCGTTACTGCACGTGCTGCTGGGGCACTGCCCGCCTGCCGCCGCCCCACAGTGCCCGCCTGCCGCGCCCCACAGTGCCCGCCTGCCGCGCCCCACAGTGCCCGCTGCTGCCACCCCACAGTGCCCGCCTGCCGCCGCCCCACAGTGCCCGCTGCTGCCACCCCACAGTGCCCGCTGCTGCCACCCCACAGTGCCCGCTGCTGCCACCGGCCACAGCACAAACCCTTTTCCTGTCGGCTCTCAGCTCTGCTACACCAAGTTATGTTGTTCTAGGTCCTTTTTAAGAAATCCCTGCTGGCTGAACACTGCTGTACGAATTGGTTGGCAGAAGGCTGGTTTGGTGGCAAAGTGTGTGTCCAAGGCCGTAAAGCTTTGGTTGGTTGGGGTTTTTTGCAGCCCTGTTGTACAGGGATTGCTTCTGTTAGCAGACCCTTCCTGTTATTTTTATTGTTGCTATTATTGCAAGCATTTTCTTTTCCTCCTCTCCTTCCTTTTTGCTCAGGGGCTTGGTTCTGAAAATGTGGGTTTGGCTTTTCTCTGTGGGGCTGCTGAGGCTCTCCTGTGTGTGAGAGCAGGAGGGGTTTGGACGGGGAGAGCTCTGCTCCTGCAGCCAAGGCTGCTGCAGCCCTGCCCTCGTGTGTAGGTGCTTCAGCAGGGCATTAGGCAGGAGTGGTATCAGGATAAAATTTAGGCAGGTAATCCTTGCAGACATCAAGCCTGGGTTACCTGCAGGAGCTTTGGTGTGTGGTGCTTCTGCTGAGTGACTTCCTCACCTCATTCTCCTTTGCTGTGAGCTGGAATGTCCTTTTCTGCATCTCATCCTTCAGACTTTCTGTTCCCTCCTCCTCCTCCTCCTCCTCCTCCTCCTCGGGGTGCTCTGACAGAGCACTTTGTTTTTCCTTGGCAGGAATGAGAGATGGGGTCTGTGTGGTGAAAACCTGGTCTAGAAAACAGTCAGGCTTCTGATGAGAAACAGCTCCAGGCTCTGGGCTGGCTTCAGCTCTTGTTTCCTCAGCACAGCTTAAGGACAATATCTGTGTGCTATGCACAAAGCAGAAGATGCAGGAGATGAGTTTGTTATCACAGGCCTGTCTCTGCTGCAGCTATAAGTTCTTAGGAGCAATATTTCTAAGCAGTTGCCAGAAATGGGGGGGAGGGAGAGTTAAAATGCCTTTTTTATTGCTTTCTTTTTGTCAAGTACAGCTGTAATTGCAATTATAAACTGGAAGGTGTTTTGTTTGGAAAAAATATGGCATAGCCACTGAAGTAGAATTTGCAGTAAAATCCATTTATTTTGCCATCATAAATATGTTTATGTTTTAATGTTAGCTAGCAAAACAACTCATTCTGTGCAGCTTTGAAATAACCTTTTATTCTAGAGCACTGTAGACTTTTCCTAGAGTCAGGGCTAGTGTTCCTGTGTCCGGGGAGTGCTACCTGGGGGTTACAAAGTTTGCTGACCTTTCCTTTGCACCGTCACCTCCTGGCTCTTCTGTTGGTTGTTCTGGTTGTGGATCAAGTCTGGGAACACAAAAAGGAACATTATTTTTTATAGCAATACAGGAGGTCTCTAACTTTGTACCTTTCTGTGTTACTTACTCTGCAAATGGCTGATTGTTGCCTCCAGTGTTACTTTCTGCTCTTGTTCTTTTTGCAATTTATCTGAAATGAGGACAGAAGATCAAGGTTGGTGTAAATCTCTGTGTAGCTCTATACAAGACTGGTACTTTTCCACATGTGTAGAGTGGAGCAGATGTTGTTGGCTGCCCTGGACTTCCTTCTCTTTCTTCTCTTTCAGGGATGTGATTTTTATCTGTTTATTGCCCTTTCTTTTTTGGCAGCTTTTTCTCTCGTGCCTTGTGTTCAAGTCATTCATGGTTTATTTTAAAGCTGTTCATGCAAGGCCAGTTATGAGATTAGAATTGCAACTCACTTTCTCTTCCTTAATTATGTTTTAAAATAGCCATGTGTGAGTTTCAAATAACGAGTGTGAGTTTCCTGCCTCTGTCTGAGCTCTCAGCTCCTCTGTACCGCCCTGGGCACCCAGCACCCGGGGCCGGCTTTGGGTGTGCCAAGGGTGAAAAGTCCTGCTTTGAGCTGAGGACACATCTTAGCTTTTTATTTCTTTTCTGGCGTCCCATTTCATCCTTTCCTCTGGGAAAGCCACTTCTGTGAACTCTTTAATCTAGTCAGGAGCAGCTTTGGGGGGCTTTGGCAGTCAGAGCTCTGGTGGCACGGCGAGGCGCGCACTGGGAGCGAGCCCTGCGTGCCCGCTGCTGGGAGTGCCATGGCCCTTCCCCGGTCCCTGCCGCGGGCACAGCGCCGGTGCCAGCCCCGGTGCCAGCCCCCGTACCTTGGATGTGGCGGATGTGGCCGGCCTGGCGGTCGTTGTCCCCACGCAGGACGCCGGCTCGCTGCAGCAGCTCCGCGCGCTCGTCCCGCAGCGCCCGCAGCTCCCGCCGCAGCCGCTCGCTCTGCGCATCCGCTCGCTGGCCAGGACGGACAGACGGACAGACAGACAGACAGACAGACAGACAGCGGTGTGGCTTGGGAGCACACCACAGCTCGCCTCGTCCTGCCCACACCACCTTCTCCCTGCTGCCAGCCCTGTGCAGCCTGGCCTGGGCGCTGCCGGGCACCCAGGGGCAGCCCAGCACCAGCAGAATGCAGCCAGAGCTGCTCCTGCAGGGAGCTGCGTACCTGGAGCTCGCTCTGCAAGGCCTGGAAGCTGTTGGTGAGCTCGCTGTGCGCCGTGGTCACGCTGCTCAGCTCGGCTTGGAGTGCGGCGTTGTGCTCCTTCCAGAGGGCCAGGTCCTCTCGCATCTCTGCCAGGCTCCTCTGGAGAGCAGAGCAGGGACGGGGCGGCTGTGACCCAGGGGTGGCTGTGACCCAGGGGCGGCTGTGACCCACGGGTGGCTGTGACCCGGGGGTGGCTGTGACCCAGGGGTGGCTGTGACCCAGGGGTGGCTGTGACCCAGGGCCGGGGATGCTGCCAGCCTGCCCTGGGCACCAGCTGGGCTGTGCTGGGCAGCGCTGGCTCCCCGAGCAGAGGCACAAAATCCCGTGTGGGGCTGATGCCATCTGATGGACAGAGCCAACAAGGGCAGCTCCCTCTGGAACACGTTCCTGGGGTGATGCTCCCTTGTTTTTCTGCAAACACCAGTTATCCTGTGGGTCAAAGCAATTTGCTGCCTCTTCGGGAAAACCTATTTTTGTATAAATGATCATCTCCAGAAAAACCCAGCCCTGGAGACCTCGTGCCCTGGTGCCTGTTGGTGTGAGCAGGGCAGGGAATGGCCCAGAGCGATGGAGGGGGGGAAGGGGTTGCAATTCAAGCTGACAAACAGGAGGACATTTCCCCAGCTGTGAGCTGTCCGTAACTTGATGTGCAGCTCGTGCAGTGAGCACAGGTTGCATTAAAGCTGCTTTGGGCTTTGCTGAGCAGCTAAAACTTCGTATTTTTCAAATCTTTGCTGCTAATGGCAAGCCTGTCATCGCCTTTCCCTGACATGTGTGGTTTTTTTGTCACAGTTGGACTGTGTTAAAGCCAAGCCAGGTGTGAGACATATTGCTCACCTGAGAGTTCTCCAGCTGCTGCTCTGTTAGGCATTTGTCCTCCATAATCTTCTGAAGAGCCTCTTTTGCCTTCTGCTCATAGGCCTCCTTCTGGTCCTCCATCTCTATCAGGATCTTCTTCACACACTCCTTGGAGTAACTCTTTAAAGAAAGAAGAGCTTGGAGTGCTTATCTGTCAGATTCCCACCTTGCTAAACCTGAACCTTAGCAAACCCAGAGCGTGTAAATGCTCCTGTAATGTGCTGGGGAGCATTGCTTCAGCGAAGAGTTAAAGGCCTTTTTGGATCGGTATCTAATCAGATTGATGTAGAAACTGAGACCCGGCCCAGTTACAAGGCTTGGTTTTTGTTTTCCTGCCTTTCCTCACCCTGTTTGTCCGTGAATCAGACATTACCTGGGTGCAGGCCTGCAGCTGATTTTCCAGCACCCGCAGTTTACACCTCAGCTTGTCCTCGTTCAGCTGGCCCTGGGGAAAAGCAATTGAAGTGAGATGTGAAGTCATGAACTGCACAATGTGCCCCCAGTGTTTTGTTGGGCTGTGTTTGGATTCATTTTCTCCCTTCATCTGTAATCAGATCAAAGTCTCTTCAGTGCTGAGAGCTCAAGTAAACCTTCCCAACCTCAGGATAAATGGGACATGGGGGAAGTGAAACTTTTATGGGTTGAAAACATGTCCTGAGGCAGTTTCTCTGGTTTCTGAGTGCAGGTGCTGGCAGTGACATGTCAAGTTAGGAGCGAGGGGATTTTGGGCTGCTCTGGCTGGCTTTGGCAGAATGCTGCCTGTCCCCAGGGGTACCCCTGTCCTCTGTCTGTGCTCCCTCCCTGCCTCGAGCCCAGCTGCTGGAACCGTCTTGTCTCGCTGTTTTCCTCAGAAAATAGGTTGGGTCTGTATTGCAAGGTCTGCAGTTGGGCAGGGGGATCAAGGGCACTGGTGATGATTCATTTTCCTCGCTGTCATCATCTCCTCTCGGTGTTAGTCAGGCTGCCAGGCTTTGTGGAAGCAGGCTGCATGCAAATTCAGATAACATTTCCAGCAAAGGGTTCACGTAGGCTGTTTCCCACCAGCAATACTGAGAACACCAATATCCTCTCTGCCCACTGCTGTTTGAAGTCACGACTCTGAAAAGAAACTCCTTGATATTACAGGAGCAGCTGACAGACCCAAGCAAAACCAGACTCCCTGGTGTCTCAGCACTGCTTAAATTTGCACACAAGCACCCCAAAGACTAAATCTTCCCCGCTCAGTTGTTGGTGCAAAGAGCTCAAGTAGGTGGAATTTTGAAAAGCAGTTTTAGATGTGCAATGTTCTGCTCAGTTCCCCTCCTCTGTTGTCTGCAGAGGTTCCAGCTGTGCACAGATGTGGCTGTGCCATGCAGGAGGGAATCAGGCCCTTCCCGTGCTCTGGAGCAGAAGTCCTGGAAGGGTTTGGGTTGGAGATGCTCACTGAGCATCCTCCTTCATCTGGCAGCATTTCTCCGTCAGCCAAGCCACTCTTACAGCTGGTGGGGATTGAGGCACAGACCCGGGGCAGGAAGGTCTCTCTGACCTCGGGGTGAAATTGTGGGGGGGAAGGCACCAAAAGCTTCGTCCCTGCGGTGTGACACCCCGTGCTCCTGCAGGGCGTTCCCTTGCCCCATCGAGCCACAACCACAGCGAGCAGCACCTCAAAAACAACTCCATCCCAGGAGTTACTGCCGCATCATTCACAGGTACCCAACAGCTCCATCCCAGGAGTTACTGCCGCATCATTCACAGGTACCCAACAGCTCGTCTTTGAACCCAGCCCCTCAGAAAGGCTTAAAAAGCTGCTACAACGAACACTTGGCATCTCACCTGAGGCTGGAAAGGGGCAGCCAGCCCTCGCTTTCCTTGGCACAGCCTTAGGGGGAAGGCTCCATCCATCCCTCCCTCCCTTTGGCAGCACCCCTGGAGCCCCCAGCCCCACCTGCCTCGTGGAATCCCCTCCGGCAGCAGCATCTGCCTGTGGGCTCCAGCACCGGGGGGTGCTTGGGCTGAGCAAAAGCTGAGTTTTAGGCTGAGAAAAGCTGAGTTTTAGGCTGAGCAAAAGCTGAGTTTCAGGCTGAGCAAAAGCTGAGTTTTAGGCTGAGCAAAAGCTGAGTTTTAGGTGAGCAAAAACTGATTTTTAGGCTGAGCAAAAGCTGTTTTTTAGGCTGAGCAAAAGCTGAGTTTTAGGCTGAGCAAAAGCTGAGTTTTAGGTGAGCAAAAGCTGAGTTTTAGGCTGAGCAAAAGCTGAGTTTTAGGCTGAGGAAGAGCAGTGTGCTCTCCTGCAGCAGGGCCAGGAGCAGCAAGGAGCACCCACCTGTTGTCATCTGAGGTTTGGTGGCCACTTCCTGTGCGTGTGGCTGAGTGTTTTTTCCTGCTCACATTATATTGAAGGAGCGAGCAAAGGCGGAAGTTTCTGACCACAGGATGTCTAAGACAAGTTTTTGTACCCCCTCACCCAATCACTCGCTTCTCTGCCCCAACAGAACTTTCAAACCACTTTTTTTTTAGCGCCACAGCAGCATGGATTGTTTAAGGATCCTATAAGAAAGCCTCATCTATTATATAAAACGTATAATTTCCATTTTGCATCCTGCTGGAAGACAAAAGGGCCTTTCCTGCGGGGTTTGCCCGAGCAGGGAGGGGGCAGCGAGGCAGGGCAGGTGCTGCTCTGCAGCTCTCTGGTACCTGCCAGGATTTCTCGGACGCCTGCAGCAGGGTGGACAGGAGCTCCTGTAAAATCACCATCTTCTGCTTGAGCAGCAGCTCGCGGTGCAGGGCCTCCTGCGGGACGGGCAGCAGGTCAGTGGGGCAGGGCTGGGGCACAGCCCAGAGCCGGGGCTGGCCCTGCCCGGGGCTCCAGCTCTTTCAGCTCTGTTGGCTCCTTCAGCCATGTCAAAATCGGGCTTTTAACACCCCTTCGTTTAGCAAAGTTAATAATAATTTTAAAAGTATTATTCCTGATGAAAAGCAGCTGTCCCAGGGGGGCTGAGCACTGTTTGGTACCTACCTTCAGGTAGTTGGAGAGCTGCACCATTTCCTGGAAGGGAAAGGGCAGATGTTTAAAAATAGTATGTTTCAGTTTATAAACATGTCATGAACTTGCTACAAAAAGCTAAATATTTATAAACAAAAGTGAATTAACAGCCTGGGTGGAGAAGGAGACCTGCTGGGGTCCATTGGGTTAGTGTTTCCAGGGAAGTGGAAATATTTCCACAGCAGTTGAACTTTCAGGAGTTCAGGCTGGTCATTACCTGTGCTTTGCTTACCTTATTTAAAACTGCTATTCCCCAGCTGAAATGAAAAACAGAGTGTGTTACTGGGGTCTCTGGGAGGGTCTCCAGCCTGGACAGCCCCTCCCCAGCTGAGCTGTGAGTGTCTGTGCCCCAAACCTTTCTGGGGGAGCACTTTGGGCATGGGGAGCTCCTGGTGGGGCAGGAGCTGCTTACTCTGTCTGCTGGCTCGAGTCTGTCACTCCTGAGCTGGGGCTTGGCAGGGTCTGCATCCCTGTGGGAGCAAAGAGAGGGTGAGAATGGTCCCCCTGAGGGGCCCTGGATGGTTTTCCATCTCTGGAGGGTGTCCACCTCTGCTCCCATTGCTCCCAGTTTAAATAAAAGATAAATGGTTATTAAATAGTGTCCAGTGGCAGCTCAATGGGCACAAGAGGCAAAGAAATGCCCTGCTCTGGTGGGCAGAGAAGCAAAGGGAGTTATTCTGCGGGGAAGTCACTCCCCTGGCTGACCCTGGGGCAGAGCAGCTGCTCAGCAGCACTGGTGCTCACTCTGCACTGGTTTATCCTTCCCCAGGAAAAGTATTCCCGATTCCCGCAGTCTGCAGGGAGAAGCCGGGCTGGGGTGGGGGGATGCTGGCTGGGGACCCCAGGCAGCTCCAGGGAGATGTGGGGGGGGAGGGAATGTGGGGCTGGGAAATCCGAGCGCCCCTCACCTACCTTGGGTGTGCAGAGAGCGCCCTGGTGCCCGGGGGGGGCTGAGGCTCGGCGGGGACCGGGACCGGGACCGGGCCGGGGGGAAGGTGGGGCAGCTCCTCGGGGGCTGGAACGAGAGGGTGGCTGGGGTCAGGGCTGAGCCTGCCGGCACCAGGAGCACCAGGAGATGCCAGGAGCTGTGGCACTCCCCAGGGATCTGCTGCTCGGGCTGTGGCAGCTCCAGAGCCCCGGGGCAGCAGTTACCGGGGCAGGAATTACCGGGGCAGGAATTACTGGGGCAGGAATTACCGGGGCAGGAATTACCGGGGCAGGAGTTACCGGGGCAGGAATTACCAGGGCAGGAATTACCGGGGCAGGAATTACCGGGGCAGGAATTACCGGGGCAGGAATCACCGGGGCAGGAGTTACCGGGGCAGGAATTACCGGGGCAGGAGTTACCGGAGCAGGAGTTACCGGGGCAGGAGTTACCGGGGCAGGCTGGGCTCCGAGCACTGCCCCGGACAGCAGGTTTACCTGCAGCGGGATGCTCGCTCTGGGCTCCACGCGTGAGGAGGGCTCCGGAGGGCTCGGTGCCCCGGGCGGGTGTCCCGGCAGGGTCCCCCCGGGCCCGGCCAGGTTCCTCCTCCTGAGGAACTCTCTCTGGCGGGGGCTGCTGGCCGGGGGCCGCGGGGCCCGGGCAGATGTGGCCCTGTCCCTGCGCCGCAGCCGCTCCCGCTCCTGCTGCCGCCGCTCGCTCCTCTCCTCGTAGCTCTCGCCCGGGCGCGGCCGTGCCCTCCTGGGCATGGTGGCCTTGTCCCCTCCTCGGGGCCTCTGCCCTGCGGAACCCAAAGCACAGGGGCTGAGTGGAAATGAGCCGTTTCTGGGGTTCGTGGGTGTGGGGTGGCGGGCAAGTGCTTCTGGAGTGCCACTTACATCTGGGATGCTTCCATGCTGTTGAGTTTGTATTAAAATGTGCTCTGGCTTTCTTTATGCTGTCCTGGTGGTAGCTCAAAGCTCATTCCTGGGGCTATCTTTTACTGTAGGGGCCTCCTTTGAAGGCGAGCTGCATCTGAGGTGGTGCCTGTGTGGGGAAGGTGCCCACAAGTCCCAGTCTGGACACGGCTCCAAAAGCTGAGCGTTTTTCAACTCATTTTGCTCCAGTTTTGAAAAGGCCCAGTTGTATGTTCTGCTCAGTCTCCACTCATCCGTCTCTTCACTCATCCATCTCTTCAGTCATCCATCAGGAAAAGCTCAGCCCTCTCCCACCCGTGCTGCCTCTGCATGGCCCTGCCTGTCCCAGGGCTGTAAAAGCCTCACTTCACCAAAAATGCACTGAAAAGCAGGATAAACTTAAAGAAACACAGTCCATTACTCACCCCGGGCTGAGCAAACCCTGGAGGCTTTCTTGAAAAGCTAATGTTCTATTTCCTCCTTTTCTTACCCCAAATTACCCTCTCCAATTAAACATGTCCTCTATCTTTGCTTTCCAAGCTCTTACACTTCTTGCTTCAAGGGAAACCAGGAAAAAGCCCCTCTGCTTGTTGCTGGTTCCCGCTCCAGCTCCCCGGTGCAAGCTGTGAGGCTGAAAGCGGGGTGAAAAGGAGGGAGAAGGCGGCGGGTGCTGCCCGTGGCCCCGGCAGCCCCTGGGTGCTGCAGCCCTTACCTGAGCCCGGGTCCCGTCCTGCCCCTGGGGTGCCACACCGAGCCGGGCGCTGCCGGGCAGGAGCTCACCCGGCTGCCCTCCTCATGCCAGCCCGAGCATGGTGTGCCCTCGCCCTCCGCTTCTCTCTCTGCAACAGGAAACGCTGCAGCTGCAGCTGCGGCCGGGCCCCGGTTCCTGGCTGTGCTGCAGCCCGGCTCGGCGGGCTCAGCCTTATCTCGGCACCCCCGGTGCCCAGCCCGGTGCCCGGCTGGAAGCACAGCCCGCAGTTACCTCCTGGGGCATCTCCCCGTGCTGCTCCGTGCCACAGAGGTTGAGCTGGAGCTGCTTGTGGCACTCGGGGATGGAGTTTCCCTGAGCGGCTTTGGGGCAGAGGAATCCAGACTTAGGGAAGTACAGTAATGCTATTATTGTAAGGCTTCTTGCAGATTGAAAAGAGGAAAAAAAAGTGTGTTTTGGCAGCTGAGGAGAGGTCAGGAATGGCAGAAATTCATTAAGGTCTTTAAAGAAGTGAAGGCTTCGTTAATGCAAATCGGGAGGAGGTCGGTTTAGCCAGCTGGGCACTGATAAGGGCACCGTGCCCTGATAAGGGCTCCTGGCTTGTGCACGTGGAGAAGGAACACCCGGCAGAGCAGAGATCTGAAAGGAACGTTGGATTTATTTCTACAAAGACCGGCATGGAAGGGATGTGTGACAGAAAATCTCCAGATTCAGAGACTCTCTCGTGGCTTTGGGTGGTTTCTGCTGCTTGGCCCAAACTGTGGTTCAGGGCCAGGGCTCAGCTCAGCTGCCTCGGTGGCTTTCCAGAGGGAACAGTTTCTGCAGGTTGAGCAGGAACCCTGCTGGTGGGCAGGGCACTGGCAGCAGATCCTGCTGCAGGACTTCTCTGAAGTGTTCCTGGTTGGAAAAAGCCCTCTACAAGAGCCCATTGCCGAAAAGGACAATTCTGTGCTGCGTTACAGACTCCTGGAGGGTCCTGCCCCGGGCTGCCAGGGCTCAGCACAGGGATGCCCCGGTGTGCAGAGGGCACCAAGCAGCTGGGCTCCCACCCAGACCCGTCCTGCCGGGCCCAGGTGTCCCAGCACGGCTCCAGGACTACGTTCTCCTGACGTTTTCCAGGCGGTAGCTGCTGAGGAGCAGGGAGTCCAGGAGCTCCGGGGCGAGGCTGCGCAGCAGGAGCATGCTGCCCACGGCCGGGGACGGGTAGTGCAGCTCCCTGCGGCGCAGGGCTCCGGCCCGGATGATCTCCAGGGCACACTCCTCCTTGGGCGCCGGCGTCTGCGGGATGACGTGCGAGACGGCGCGCACGGCGCTCTCTGCAAGGGACAGGGACGTGTCAGGGGGACACGGCCAGCAGCTCACCAGCGTGTCTGGGGCATCCTCCAGCCTACAAACTGCGGGCAGCAGACCTGCTTAACAAGGCTTAGAACGGTGAAAATAACCATTATAAGATGTCCTTCCCTTTGCTTTCCACCTCTTGAGAGGCCACAGGACCTCCCCTGAGTTCACTGAGGCGGTGGCAGAGTCAAAGGCCTCAGGGCACACTTTTTGAAGGGTTGGGGTCCTGTTTCCAGAGCTGCACAGACTCTGCAGGGGCAGAGCAGGCTGGCACCAGGGCCTGGTGGGCTCAGCTGGGCAGTGCCTGGCACGGGCTGTGCCGCGGGGTCCCGGTGGGGCTGAGCTCACCTGTGTTGATGTAGCCCAGGATGCAGAGTGTGATGGAAACGTTGACCTTGTCTATGATGAGTTCCTGCCTCAAGGAGCTGAAAAATCCGTCTAAGGCGAACTTGGTTGCGGAATAGGGAGCAGTAAAAGGGCCAGCAATTTTACCTGAACAGAGACACAGTGCTGGGCTTCAGGTGCTGGGCAGACACCTGCTGCACAACCCTCCCTCCTCTTGCCCTGCCAGTGGTGGGATTTAGGGTGTTGGAATAAGCTGTCATTGATGCCTGAGAGAAATAAACATGCAGGAATGTTCAAAATGTAATGTGTGGCACAAAGGGCCTCCCAGAGCAGCTGATGCTGCTCTTGTGTCCCTGCAGGGATGTATTGCAAATGTGTGTTGGGATGTGGCTGTGCCTGTGAAATCACCTGCACTGCAGCCTGTGAAGGTGATCAGAGGGTGCCAGGAGACTGACAGGACAAAAGAGAAATTTCCCAGAGAATTTGAACTGTGCACCAAAGAGCTGAGCCAGGTGCTGACCCTGAGCCCCAGCTCTGCTTGGGACCTTCCTCTGCCTTTGGAAGCAGTCTCAGAGGGATCCGTGGCAGGCAGAGGAAGGGCTGCGTTAGGAGCTCACCCGCTATGGATGAAACCACCACGATGCTGCCCTCGCTCTCCTTCAGCAGGGGCAGGGCAGCCGTGGCCAAGGCCACGTAGCTGACGAAGTTGGTCTCCATGAGCGTTCGGACGTGCCCCACGTCCCCGCTGAAGAAGGTGAAGCTGCTCTGGCCGATGTGGTTCAGGATCAGCATGTCCAGGCCACCTGGGGGCAGAGCAGTTTGCCTCCAAACCTGCACCTCGAGGCTGGGCTGTGTGGGGTGAGGGGCAGCTCCGCAGCACCTACCCCAGGTGTTCTCCGCCTCCCTCAGCACCTCCTCGGGCAGGCTGGGGCTGGCCATGGAGCCGCTGATGTAGCGGGCGGAGGCAGCGCCGAGCTCCAGGCATCGCTCCACAACCTGGGGACAGAACGGGCGTGGATGGGCTCCCCTGCCTGGAACCCTGTCCCAGCTGCTCCTGTCCTGGGCCAGGAAGGGCCGGTGCTGGGGAAGCGCTGGGGAGGATCTGCAGGGCACCAGGCGTGCCCGGGCTGGGGTGGGTATCCCCATCCCGCCAGCACGCCCTGCTCGCCGTTTACTTTCTGCAGCCTGGCCTCTGTCCGTGCCGTGAGCAGCAGGTGGGCCTCCATCCGGGCCAGGTGATAAGCCATCTGCTCCCCGATGCCGCTGCTGGCTCCCGTCACGATCACCCGCTTGCCCCGCAGCATCTCTGGGAGGAGGCGCAGGGCTCAGGGCTCGCTGTCCCTCTGCGGGCACCGCGGCTCTCCCCGTCCCTGCGGCTCCTCTCTGGCCCTGCCAGACTCCTCAGACCCCGCTGGAGCCCGAGCCCTAAGCCCAGAGCACGTGTGAGGCTTCAGCTCTGCGAGCCGGCCAACAGAGAGATGAAATGTTTGAAAACTGCTTCTTTCCCAAAGAAGTCATTTCCAGAGGTCAGACGCTGTCCCGGCAGAGCCGTTGCAGTTCCCTGAGTTTCCCGTGCTCTGACCCTTGCTGGGGCAGTCTGACCTGCCCTCCCTGCCGCTCTGGCCCTGCCAGGCCCTGCCAGCCCTGCTGCGGCACACGCCGCCCCTCTGGCGCTGCTCCTGCAGCCGCTCTCCCGCACTGCACTTACCTTCACTGAACTTCCCAGGTGCTGAGTAAAAATAAAAGGCCAGCGCTGCTCCCAGCAAAGGGATGAGAACCTTCAGGAGCAATCCCATCCCTCTGCAGAGCTACAGGCAGGACCAGACGAGCCCCACGGGGAGGTGAAGCTGGCTGGAGCTTGCAAATGGGGCTGGGAAGTTTGGAGCCGGTTCTTATCTCACACAAAGTTTGCTGGTATCTGTTGGACCTTTTCTTTGCCCTGCCGGGGATTTAGCAAACATTAACCTAATGAAGCGTGTGGCTTTGGACTTTAGGCTGTCCCTTTGCACCCTTGGCCTGCCAGGAGAGTCAGGCAGCTTTTTGAGAGAGCTGAAGGGAAGGCACTGAGCAGAGCAGTGGGTGCATGGCCTGGCTGGCTGGGACAGCAGTGTCCCCTCTGAGCAGACATCCTCGGGACGAGTGGACATCCCTCTCGCCCCACTCCAATTTCCATTTTCCAACCACTGCTGCTGATTCTGGTTTGTCCTCTGGGATATCACCACGGATAGAACACTGGCAGTTTGCTGGCTCTTACCCCTAAAAAATATCACTGTTGAGGAATCCATGGGTGGCCAAAGGCAGTAGAAGGGCCAAGTGGATGAATAGGAAAGATCTTCAGCTTTCTCAGGGCTGTGATTCTGCTCTGTGCTCTGCAGGTGGCAAATGGGGTTGAGGGTGACTTCCTGGAAGTTTAAAGGGCAGAACCCACTCTGTGTGTGCTGGTTTGTGTGGGTGATCTTGGGGTAAGGAGAAATTAGGGAGGAATTGTTCCCTGTGAGGGTGGGCAGGCCCTGGCAGAGGTGCCCAGAGCAGCTGCGGCTGCCCCTGGATCCCTGGCAGTGCCCAGTGGAGCTGTGCCCACGAGCAGCTGAGAACGGCGATAAAACCCCACCAGCACACGGAGAGCTGTCCGGTTAATACACTTTATTTAAAAATTAGCTCAACAACGAGTGTTCCGCGGCCGGGCGGGGCGATCAGGGCGCGGAGCCGCCGCTGCGGGTCCCGCTCTGTCCCTGCGGGTGCCGCCAGCGCATCACGAACCGGGCGGCGGCGACGGCGGCCAGGAACGGGGATGGCCGGGGACCTTCCCGGGGCCGGGGACCCTCCGGGGACCCTCCGGGACCGGGGACCCTGCGGGGACCCTCCGGGGACCCTGCGGGGCCGCGGCTCAGTGCTGCGGGCGGGGGGCTCCGGGGGTCGCGGGCAGGCGGTAGCGGCTCCGCACCAGGTAGTCGAGCAGCTCGGCGGCGCAGTCCCGCAGCAGCAGCGGCAGCCGCGTGGAGCTGTAGCGGTAGTAGAGCTCCCTCCGGCGCAGCGCCGCGCCCTTGAGGATCTCCAGCGCGCACTCGTCCCGCGGCGCCGGACGCTCCGCCAGCACCTCCGCGGCAGCGCGCACTGCGCGTTCTGCGGGCGGGCGGACCGGGATGGGGGTCAGCGGGACCCCCGGGGGATGGGGGTCAGCGGGACCCCCGGGGGATGGGGGTCAGCGGGACCCCCGGGGGATGCGGGGAGAGCGGGGACACCCGGGGGATGCGGGTCAATGGGGACCCCCGGGGGATGCGGGGAGAGCGGGGACCCCGGAGGATGCGGGGAGAGCAGGGACCCCGGGGGATGTGGGGTCAGTGGGGACCCCCGGGGGATGTGGAGCCAGCAGGGACCCCCGGAGGATGCGGGGAGAGCAGGGACCCCGGGGGATGTGGGGTCAGTGGGGACCCCCGGGGGATGTGGAGCCAGCAGGGACCCCCGGGGGATGCGGGTCAGCGGGGACACCCGGGGGATGCAGGGAGAGCAGGGAGCCCCGGGGGATGCGGGTCAGCGGGGACCCGAAGGGCTGTTGGGCTGTGCCAGCCTGGAGGCGGTGCCCGGGTTTACGTGGCACGGGCAGTAAATGGCTTTGGAGGCTGTTTTTGGGGGCAGACAGGTGGGATCCCCCCGAGAGGATGCAGGAGAAGGGGCGGGATGGGGGTCCTCAGCCCTGAGCAGGGCTGGAACAGCTCCGCTCTCACCCGTGTCGATGAAGCCGAGGATGCAGAGCGTGATGGAAACATTGATGCTCTGAATGGCGAACTCCTGCCTCAGGGAGCTGAAAAATCCATCCAGGGCAAACTTAGTCGCAGAGTAGGGGACGGTAAAGGGGAACCCGACTTTACCTGGACACAGGGCGAAGTTCTGTGTTAGCACACGAGGCTGCTCTGCCTGAGCTGCTCTTTTGCCCTTCCTCAGAGACAGGATTTTACCACTGGGGTGTCATCCTAGCACCTGAGCAGCAGCCTTACAAATATTCTTGCTGTCTTCCAGCTCTTAAGGCCAAAGCTGTGGCTCCCATCTCTGCTCAGGGCAGGGGCAGCCCACAGGAGCCACAAAACCCTCCAAGGGGAGAGATGGAGCAAAGGTGAAACTCCTGTCCCTGGCCTGAGCTGCTCCCCAGGACACTGACCACCACAGCAGCTGTGGGGTTTAATGCAGCGCTGGTCAAAAACCACAATGGGGCCGTTGCATTGAGCAGAAATCAAATTCCAGCAAGACAATGCCAACCCCATCTGGGTTTGGTGTTGGGGCTGGTTTTGGTGGGGTTTTGGTGCTAGGCAGTTATGGCTCCTGGAGGATGCCTGGTGTCTCTGTCAACCAGCCCAAGTGCCTTTTGAGTGCCTGGTGACACTGCCCACTCACCTGCCATGGATGAAACCACCACGATGCTGCCCTCGCTCTCCTTCAGCATGGGCAGGGCTGACGTGGTCATGGCCACGTAGCTGAGGAAGTTGATTTCCAGGAGCTTTCGGACGTGCTCCACGTCCCCATCAAAAAAGCCAAAGTAGGATGCACCGACGTGGTTAAGGATCAGCATGTCAAGGCCTCCTGCAAGCAGAAAAACGGGCATCAGTGCTGGGGAAGAGGGCTGCACCCGGCACAACAACATTTTCTGGGAGCAGAATAAGTGTAATCCAAGGAAATCAGGTTTCTGGGTCAGAGCTATGGCCTGTTATCTCCAGAGCAGGGATACAGCCTGGATGGTGGCTGCCAGTAAATATTTTGTTGTGATACATTTTTTAGTTCAAAACACAAATGCCATGGCCCAGGGGAGATCACCCTGAGCTGTCTGTGGGCCGGGGGGGGAGAGGGAGCAGGGCTGGTGCATTTCTGTGCCGTGACCCATGGCCACAGTGGCCAGGGCTGCCGGACCCCGGCGCTGGGCTGATGAAATCCAGGGCTGTGACACTGCAACAGGATGCCAGGAGGCCACAGAGCTGAAATCGAGAGCGCAGTTCAGTGTGAGAGGCAGCAACGCCGGCAGAGGGGCAGAATTAGGGGAGAATTTTTCCCATCTGGCCCCATCTCTCCCGCTTTATTTTGCGTGTGGGGAAAGGCGCGGCCGGGGCAGGATGCTGGCGCTGTGCAGGGCAGGTTCAGACGTACCCAGCACAGCCTGGGCCTCCCTCACCACGTGCTGGGCGAAGGCCGTGTCCTCCATGGTGCCGCTGACGAAGCGCGCCGAGGCTGCTCCCAGCTCCAGGCAGCGCCGCACCACCTGCAGACAGCGGGGCTCAGAGCCCTGACCCTGCCTGGAGCTTGTCCCTGCCCAGAGCCCTGTACCTGCCCAGAGCCCCCATCCCTGCCCAGAGATCGTCCCTGCCCTGGGAACCCATCCCTGCCCTGGGAACCCAACCCTGCCCAGAGCCCCATCCCTGCCCAGAGCCCTGTACCTGCCCAGAGACCGTCCCTGCCCAGAGCCCTGTACCTGCCCAGAGCCCCCATCCCTGCCCAGAGCCTGTCCCTGCCCTGGGAACCCATCCCTGCCCAGAGCCTTGTACCTGCTCCAGAGCCTCCATCCCTGCCCAGAGCCCCATCCCTGCTCTGGGAACCCATTCCTGCCCTGGGAACCCATCCCTGCCCAGAGCCCCATCCCTGCCCAGAGCCCCCATCCCTGCCCGGAGCCCTGTACCTGCCCAGAGACCATCCCTGCCCAGAGCCCCCATCCCTGCCCGGAGCCCTGTACCTGCCCAGAGCCCTGTACCTGCTCTGGGAACCCATCCCTGCCCTGGGAACCCATCCCTGCCCTGGGAACCCATCCCTGCTCCAGAGCCCATCCCTGCCCAGAGCCCCATCCCTGCTCCAGAGCCCCATCCCTGCCCAGAGCCCCATCCCTGCTCCAGAGCCCCATCCCTGCCCAGAGCCCATCCCTGCCCAGAGCCCCATCCCTGCCCAGCCCCATCCCTGCTCCAGAGCCCCATCCCTGCCCTGGAAACCCATCCCTGCCCAGAGCCCCATCCCTGCCCAGAGCCCATCCCTGCCCAGAGCCCCATCCCTGCCCAGAGCCCCATCCCTGCCCAGAGCCCCATCCCTGCCCAGAGCCCTGTACCTGCCCTGGGAACCCATCCCTGCCCAGAGCCCCATCCCTGCCCCGTCCCCCTCCCTGCCCAGAGCCCATCCCTGCTCCAGAGCCCCATCCCTGCCCAGAGCCCATCCCTGCCCAGAGCCCCATCCCTGCTCCAGAGCCCCATCCCTGCCCAGAGCCCATCCCTGCCCAGAGCCCCATCCCTGCCCAGCCCCATCCCTGCTCCAGAGCCCCATCCCTGCCCTGGAAACCCATCCCTGCCCAGAGCCCATCCCTGCTCCAGAGCCCCATCCCTGCCCTGGAAACCCATCCCTGCCCAGAGCCCATCCCTGCTCCAGAGCCCCATCCCTGCCCAGAGCCCATCCCTGCTCCAGAGCCCCATCCCTGCCCAGAGCCCCATCCCTGCCCTGGGAACCCATCCCTGCTCAGAGCCCCATCCCTGCCCAGAGCCCCCTCCCTGCCCCTTCCCCCTCCCTGCCCCGGAGCCTGCTGGCTCAGGTGTGGGTGTTGGAGCTCCCTGTGATGTGTCCCCACCTTAAACCAGCGGTTTGGGTTTTTGGGAGTGTGTTTGGAGCCTTGGGAACTTCAAAGGGAGCCCGGGAAATGCTTCCTTGGCTGAGCCCTGGTTACCCGAGGCAGTCTGGCTGGAGCTGCAGCGTGCAGGAATGAGGGTGTGGGGATGGAGCTGGGGGTGAGTGTGGGGGTGTGTGTGGGGGTGTGTGTGTGGGGGTGTGTGTGCAGCTCGGGCGCTGCAGCGTGGGCTGCAGGGAGCTGTGGCTGCAGCAGGGACTGCGGCTGTGCAGGGCCTCCAGGGCACAGGGTGACACCAGCTCCCAGGGCACAGGGGTCTGTCACTGTGCCTGGGTGGGTCCTGTCACTGTCACTGTGCCCAGGTGTCATCTGTGAATGTCACCGTGCCCAGGTGTGACCTGTCATTGTCACTGTGCCCAGCTGGGACCTGTCACTGTGCCCAGGTATCATCTGTGAATGTCACAGTGCTCAATGGTGTGACCTGTCACTGTCACTGTGCCCAGCTGGGACCTGTGACTGTCACTGTCACCGTGCCCAGGTGGGACCTGTCACTGTCACTGTGCCCAGGTGTGATCTGTGAATGTCACCGTGCCCAGGTGTGGCCTGTCACAGTGCCCAGGTGACAGTGGCAGAGATGTGGATGTTCCTGTGGCCTGTGCCGTGGGTGTCCCTGTGCTGTGCTGTGCTGTGCTGTGCTGTGCTGTGCTGTGCTGTGCTGAGCTGTGCTGTGCTGTGCTGTGCTGAGCTGTGCTGTGCTGTGCTGTGCTGTGCTGGCAGGTCCCGTCCCTGTGCCCGTGCCCTGCCAGGACCAGGAGCCAGGTGCCACTCACGTTCTGCAGCCTGGCCTCTGTGCGTGCCGTGAGCAGGACGTGGGAGCCCATCCTGGCCAGGTGATAAGCCATCTGCTCCCCGATGCCCGTGCTGGCTCCCGTCACGATCACCCGCTTGCCCCGCAGCATCTCTGGGAGGGAGGCACGGCCAATTTTGGTTATTATTCCACCCAAAGCAGCGCAGTTGCTGTGTGCCCCTCGGCCCAGCGTTAACTGAAGGTGAAGGAGTGCCAGGCACCCACACCAGCCCGGCTCTCCCGAATCATGGAAAAGCTGCGGAGCTGCTGCATCTTCCCGGGACTGCAGCGACACAGGGACAGCTCTGGGCTCCCCCAGCAGCTTTTTCCACAAGCCAGGGCACAATTTATCAACTCTGCAACAAAAGCAATCCACTGAGTGCGTGCTCCAAACTTTAACGCTTACAAACCCCATTTATAAAACTTTTCCTGCACACGGGGAAATGGAGCACTCGGTGCCCTCTCCCTCTCTCCCCTGCCTCACCTGCTCCCTCAGGAGCTTTTCTGCCTTGTTCAGTTTGGTTTTAAATCTTTGTCAAAGCAGCTCCCAGTATCTGCCAGCACACAAAGGCTCGGCCGTGCCGTGCTCCGGGCTTTGTCCGGTCTCTACGCAAAACACCCAAATGTGGCTTTTTTCGCTTTTTCCTAAAGTCAGATTCACTTTGGATACTTACCCGGTTTGAAAGTGTCCCTCGCAGAATAGAACCAGAAGGCCAAAACCAATCCCAGAGAGGGAATGAGAATCTTTTTCAACCGACCCATCCCACTGTGGAGTCAGGAAATGCAGCACGGGAGAGAAGGAAGGAACAAAAATCCCTCTGCAGAGCTGCTGCTGAGGGAAGCAGCAGTGTGACCCTTTAAAAACTTGTTAGCAGAGGAGCTGCGGCTTCCAGAGCCTGGAAAATCCCAGGTGGGCGGATGGATGAGCCAGGCAAAGCCTTTGGTTCGCTCCCTGCTGCTCGGCCTGGCCGGCGGGGCTGTTTGGGTTCTGCCCGGCTCTTTTCATATTTCCTGTCCTACATTAAAATGCAGAATTTTGTACAACACCCTGGAAGAGGTGTGTCTTTGCTGAGCAGCATCAAGTTTCACTCGGAGAACATCAGAGGGAGCCCAGTGCAGGTGGTTGAACGTTGTCCTCTATTCCTGCAGGCCCCGGGCAGGGATGTGCCCGGCTCTGGCAGGGACACCCCACTGCTCCTGTGCCCCCCAAAGCTGCCCCTGCCCCTGGGCTGCTGGCAGCAGGGACCCAGCAGCACACTGCACCCCAACAGCCCCAGGAACGCTCTGCTGAGGCAGGGCTGGGTTTTTAATCTCTTTTTTTTGTCTGTGAGCAGGGGCTGAGCTGGACCCATCTGTGGGGTGCAGCCACCTCAGCCCCAAGGGGCACAGGGAGGTTTGCAGGGAAACACTGGATGTGTTTTCTGCAGAGAAATCAGTGGCCTTGCTGCCATGGCTCCTCCTTTGGGTTTTGCAAGAGCTTTATTCTGACTTTTAAATGAATATAATTGTGAGGAAAGCCCACAGAACACCCTGTAGCTCCCCAAGCCTCAGCAAAGCCAGCGCGTGGGCCTTGTGCCATGGGGATACAGCTCGTCCCAGCTTTGCTCTGGGATCTCCATCCCTGGGGAAGGCTGAGGGAGCTCCTTGTGCCCTGCCAGAGCCTCACTGCTCTGCTGGGACCAAAGCTGTGTTTGCAGCTGCACTCCTCACCTTCCTGGGCACAGCACTCTGCTTGTCTCTGACAGACCCAGGCAGAATTGTCCAATGGCTTTTCCCCTCCTATGGCATCTTTAAAGCTCAAGTGCTTTCCTTCAGTGCTGTGCCTGGCAGGGCAGCTGCTCTCTGGCCTTGCTGCTGCTTTATGGAGGATATTTTTCCTTTTCTGCCTTTCTGCTCCCCTCTCAGCTCTGCCTGTGATAAGAAGCTCTCAGCCCACTCTGGGTCAGATAAAACCAGCACAGCCACTGCTTTTCCTGCCTCCCTTTGGGGGAACTGAGCTGTGATCGTGGGGCAACCATTTCATCCTTGGCTATGGAAAGGGAAAGAAAATGAAGTAATTAACTGTATCTCAGCTGGGACCTTGTCTGTGGCCGGCAGGGAGAGAGGCTCTGCTCAAGATATTTTAGTTTATTACTGGCATTAGCAAAGCAATAACCACCAACCTTTGTGCACCATATGCGAGTGTGACAGGAAGGAATTGTGCTCTTTGATCCGTGGGGATGGAGCACGGGGGGATTCCGGAGCCAGCACCGGCCCACCGTGCTGCTGGTGGCGAGAACTGCGGGGCTGGGCTGGGGTTTTGCGAAGTGGCTGACAATGAAGGACTGAAATATGGAATATTTTGGACAAAGCCGAGCCCAGTTTTCCATAGAAGCAGTTGTGCTGTGTGGCGTGTGGAGGGGAGCAGGGTTTGCTCGTGGGGCTGCCCACGGGGTTTGTTCCCAGCTGCCATCCCCGCCAGGCTGCTGCTGCTCCTCACTCCCACTCGCAGCTTTTTCTGGCCTTGTTTTCCTGTCTGCAGATGAAGAACTTGTTTTGAACTTTTCCTGGGGGCGGGGAGCAGGAAAGGCTGGCGGGGAAGAGTTTTCTGGTGCCGGCTGGGGAAGGCTTTTCTGGTGCCGGCTGCTCCGAGCCTTGGTGTGCCCGCTGTGGCAGAGCCGTGCCCAGCCTTGTGCCCGCTGTGCCTAGCCCTGTGCCCGCTGTGCCCAGCCCTGTGCCCGCTGTGCCCAGCCCTGCCGCTCCTGGAACACCTCTCTGGGGTGGTCCCCACGCATTCCCGTCCCGCTCTGCTCGTGGCTCGGGGGGGAAACTTGTCCTGGCAGAAACCTGGAGAGGGGAAATTGGAAACTGGAAATTGGAGAGCCCTGCAGGAGCGCGTTCCAGGGCACGGCTGGGCTGGGGCAGGTTTCTGCAGGCAGCTCCAAGGCTCAAAACACTTGGCAGGAATTTGGAAACCACTTTTTTTTTTTTTTTTTTTTTTTTTTCCTTTTTTGAGTGATATTTGTCTTTTTTCAAATCGTTATCAAATACTGGTCAAATGCAGAGGATTTTCCTTTTTCATTTTTTTTTAAATTTCCCCTTTTGCTCTCCTTTTTCTCAGAGACATTGAAATATTATTTTTCCTACCCAGCTGTGCCAGAGCCCTTTGCCATGAACACAGCTCTAATTCCTTTTTTTACAGGGCCATCACGATATCAAGGCTGCCCCAGTTCTGCTTTTCTACTTGCACATCCTGCAGAAGAACCCCATCGCTGTCACAGCTACGCCGCTGGAAATGCACTCCCAGTCCCGAGGGAGATGAGAGGATTGGAGGGTGGCTTTGGCTCGGTTTGACATCACATTTCTGCACACTGCTGGTTCAGAGAAATTACTGTGATGTTCAAGTAATTTCCAAGCCCTAAATTTGTGTTTTTTCTTTGTGTGACCAAATTGGGAATTGCTGCCTTGAAATGTCATGGTTGGAGCTGTGGCTGCTCAGAGCCTTGGCTGCTGTCCACGTTCCCAGTGCCCTTGGGGCTGGGTGGCTGAGGCTGATACTCTTATCTGCACCCCTAAATTTAGCCTGGCAGCCCCTGGGGTATGCAGTGTCCGCACTGCAAATAGCAGCGAGGACTCTGAAGGCATCCAGAGCCCCGAGGGGAGGGCCCCAGCCCCAGGGATCAATGAGTGCCTGACAGCTCCGGGCTGAAATCAGACCTTCGAAAGATGGCTACAGACAAAGCCTCACCGGATTTTGTGCCAGCTGCATCTTCCCTGAGAATTTAATGCACCAAGAGAGTGTCATGTTTACAGGCTGGAACAAACCAGATTCAGACAACAGAAATCCACCTCAGGGGAACCCAGCAATGTCACTCAGCCCTGGGGCAATGTGCGGCTCTCCCCAGCAGTTTGTCCCGCAGGGTCTGGGTTTAACTCAGCCCTAAATGCTCTCCCCAGCTGCTCCCTGGTCCTGCCTGGGCCTCATCCCATCTGGTTTCTCTCTGCTCTATCCCGGCGTTTGTAATTAAACTATTTTGCAATTGGCCCAGGGGCTGTGGCCATCTGGGCTGTGGGATGCTGTGGGATGCTGTGGGATGTTGTAGGATGTTGTAGGATGCTGTGGGATGTTGTAGGATGCTGTGGGATGCTGTAGGATGCTGTGGGATGTTGTAGGATGCTCTGGGATGCTCTGGGATGCTGTAGGATGCTATAGCGTGCTCTGGGATGTTGTAGGATGCTGTGGGATGCAGTGGAATGCTGTGGGATGTTGTAGGATGCTGTGGGATGCTGTAGGATGCTATAGGGTGCTCTGGGATGTTGTAGGATGCTATAGGGTGCTCTGGGATATTGTAGGATGCTCTGGGATGCTCTGGGGTGCTGTAGGATGCTATAGGGTGCTCTGGGATATTGTAGGATGCTGTGGGGTCACTGTCACTGCTGTAGTGGTGTCAGAAGTGCCAAAGCAAGTCCCACACACACTGGATTTGTTGTGTACTTTGAACAAGGCTTGAGGCGGTCCTCGGGGTAGAATCGGTGATTAACACCGCTCTAATTGCCCCTCTGCAGGGAGCCAGCGCCGCTCCATCCCTGCACTGCCCCGGGCGAGGGGCAGCAGCCCGGGCTGGCCGGGTGAGCTGTGCGCAGTGCCATCCCGAGCCGGGCAGGAGCGGGGCAGGAAGAGGAAGAGGAAGAGGAAGAGGAAGAGGAAGAGGAAGAGGAAGAGGAGCAGGAGCAGGAGCAGGAGCGGGGCAGGAGCAGGAACAGGAGCAGGAGCAGGAGCAGGAGCAAGGCAGGAGCAGGAACAGGAGCAGGGCAGGAGCAGGACAGAGCCCTTCCTCTGCGGGTCCTGCCCGGCAGGGCTGCCTTTAGCTGGCTGATCCCCTGAGCTGCCTTAGGAGCAGCTTTTCCCACCGCTCCCAGCCCTCTTTGCTCTAAGCTCATAACCCGGGCTGGGAGCCTGGGAGGAGGCGGTGTGGGCAGCAGGGCAGGCACAGCGGGGTTTGGGGGGTCCCCTCTCCCAGTGCCCCTCTCCCTGTGCCCCTGTCCCAGTGCCAGGCTGGCACACCTGGAGCAGCGCTGCTCGGGACACGGAGTTTCTTTAACCCGGTCCTGCTGAACGCTCCCAGCTGCCCGGGCCGGCCTGGATCTCTCCCCTGGCTTTGATCCGCCCCAGCCGGGCCCTGGCAGTGCCCCCATCCCTGCCACAGCCCCCGGTGTGCCACGGGGATGCCAGCCAGCCTTCCCTGCTGCGAATGCCACACCTCGGTAAAAGCTGGGATGGGCCCACCATGGGCATCCTCAGCTGGTGCCTCCCTTCAGGCTGAATTCCATTTTCCCATGAAACTTCCATTGGTATCAGGGAGGGTTAACTAAATTTTTTTTTTAATTATTTTTTTTGTCTCCTCTTCCCATTCCTCATTCTATTTCTTTCTCCTTCCATTTATCCTTGTGTTTTCCCATCCCTCTTTCCATTTCTCCTTTTTCTCTTAAGAAACTTATGTTTTTCCTTCCTCCAAAAAAACACCCCGAGGTTGTCTCAGCCGCCTTGTCAGAGACCAAAGGGTTTGTTACCGACTAAATGAAGTCATTCTCAAACATTATTTTAAATTGAACTATAATTTTGACTGAGGAAAAAGTACGTTAAATTTGAAAGCTTGAGCAGAGTTTTTGTGCAGATTCTGGGTGGGATTCTTTCTCCACTCTGTGCTGCTGGGTTTGTTTTGGTAACAGAAATAATTGTCAACAGAATGAATCGTGGGTTGTGTATTATGAAAATGAAATAGTGAACTTCAGCCTATTCTGATATTTTCAGGTCCTGATCTTACGTTGTGCAGCTCTGGCAGGGCTTTTTAATTTTCCATGAACCAGCGTTTGGCTGAGTTGTTTTGCTTTTAGAGAGAGGCACGCTGCTGGTGCATCTCCCTGTGCCTGTGAGGTGTGATCTGCTGCTCCCCTGCCCTGTGCTGCCTTTGGGCAGCTGGGGAGGATTTTCTGCCTGGATTTTCTGCCCTGCTCAGGACTGGCGGGGCTGTTTGCTGCCCTCCCCTCTGAAGTGCGGTCGGGATCACTCAGCCCTGGCTGGCTGGAGACTCTGTTTCACTGACATGGCTTAGTCCCAAATGCAGCAGATTCTTGCTAAGCCCCAGAACATTTTTTAAATAGGTGAAAGTCCTCTAATGATGCTGGCAGCGCTCTGAGTGGAGCCTGCAGCCTGGGACAGTTTCCTCAGCCTCCAGCCTGCTATGCTATCTCGGGCTTTTTCTGTGTGACACCCTGTGACTCTGGAATCCAGCGTCACTCTGCACGCTCAGGTGTCTGGGGTGCCTTTGTGAAAGACCCCAGGAAAGGTGGAAGGGTTCTGCTTTGGGGATTTTTAGCTGTGCAGCAGCTGGAGCCTGTTGGAGGACTGCCAGGGCAAGAACGGGGTTTAGATTTATTTTAAACCAGTTCTGTGCACACGTGGCCGTGGCAGAGATAAATCTGTGCCATTGAACCCAGATAACCCCTGAAGCACAGCCCCACCTCCAGCTGGGGCATGTGGCACCCGTGTGACACAAATGCCACCTCCGTGTGACACAAATGCCACCTCCACCTCCGTGTGACACAAATGCCACCTCCTCCCCGCCTTGGGAAGGAGCAGAGGGAGAGGCAGAGCAGGGCAGCCCCTGTGGGGTTTGTGGGGTTTATGGGGAGGGGCAGCCCCCTCCTGTTCTGTCCCCTGCGTCCCCCCTGCCCCCCAAAAGGAGCCAGAGCCGTGAGCAAACCCTCTGCAGACCAGCACCAGAAGGCTTGGAAAACAAAAGCAGCAAGAGAGAGCACCGGTACCATATAAAATATTTATTGATCTTGCAAAATGGTGTAAAATGCGTCCGTAAGAAAAATAAGAAACCGTGCTGTGCGTGGCGCACAGGTTTATACCAACAAAAGGTATTTTTCCCCACTGCTGCACAGCAGCAAATAAAACCCTTCACTTCTGGCAGTCTCCTTCAGCCGAGCCTTCTCTTGGTGCTGGCACCGAGCGGAGTCTCTGGGCGGTGGGGCCGGCCTAGGACGCGTGCTGCCGGGTCACCAGAGCCCTGTGCAGCCCCGGCACGGCCGCCTTGCCCTTGGCCAGCACCAAACCCTCCCGGTGCTGCGGCTCCGGCTGCTCCCGGGCCGCCGCCGCCTTCTCCTTGTCCCGCTCCTCCTCCGGGCTGGCCTCGGAGCCGAAGGGGCTGCACACGGTCTCCACCAGGCCGATCACCACCCCGAAGAAGGCCAGCACGCTGCCCAGCATGTACAGCTTGACCATCTTCCTGCTGGGCTTCTGGCTGAGCATTTCTTTGGCGAAGGGGAGCAGCTCATGCACGGTTTCCATCTCGGTTCTGCAGTGGTGGGTTCGGATGGCGCTGCTGGAAGAGAAGAGAGAGGGACACGAGTTCAATCCAGCTGCTGTGGTGGCAGAGCTCCCCGAGCCCCCTGCAGACCCGCAGCTGGGCTTTAAATGGGGATTGGGGATTTTTGCTAAAGGTTTGCCTCAGGAAAAACGGTGCCCCAGGACCGAGCCACCCTCCCCGGGACCGAGCCACCTTCCTCGGGTACCGGCCACCCTCCCGAGGACCGAGCCACCCTCCCGAGGACCGAGCCACCCTCCCCGGGACCGAGCCCCCCTCCCCGGGCTGCGGTGGGGGGCACACACCACTGCTCCCACGCGTTTTGAGCAGCGTCCCGTCCCGTCCCGCCCCGTCCCATCCCGCCCCGTCCCATCGCATCCCGCATCCCCCCGCAGCCCTTACCGCTGTTGGTGCAGGGCTGAGCAGTGCAGGGAGCAGTGCAGGGATCGCTGCGGTGTTGGTGCAGGGCTGAGCGGTGCAGGGAGCAGTGCAGGAGCGCTGCGGTGTTGCGGTGGTGCTGCTGTCGCTGTCGCTGTCGCAGCCGCTCCGCTGCAGCCGCTGCCCGGGGCCGCCGCCGCCGCCTTTTATCGCTGCCGGGGCGGGCGGGGCGGGGGCCGGGCCGGGAGCGGGGCCCGGAGCTCGGCCAGCGCGGCCCCCCCGCGCTTGGCAGCTCCTGCCCCTAATCCGGCCAGAAGGAAAAAAAAAACCGCTTTTTTTTTTTTTTTTTTTTTTTTAGACCCTTTCCTCCCCCACTTTGTAAATATTTTTATTTTTTATTTATCTCCTCTTTCCATTCCTCCTTCACTTCTTTCTCCTTCCATTTCTCCTTGTGTTTTCCTATCCCTCCTTCCATTTCTCCTTTTTGTCTTAAAAAACTTATGTTTTTCCTTCCTCCAAAAAAACACCCCAAGGTTGTCTAATTCCCAAACCAGAGATCTGATGCCCGACTTGCTGTGCAGCGCTGTACCTGCTTCTGCAAGAAATATTTCCTGTGTTCACAGAAGCTTTGCTGCTTGCCCGGGAGGCTGGGAGAGGATCCGTATCCACGGCTCCCAAGCAGGGCAGCGTTTGGATCGGGGCCTGGGGCTGTGCGGGGCCGAGTCAGAAAAACGCCCCTGCCTTGCTCCAAGTCAGAAAAACGCCCCTGCCCTGCTGCCCGCCCGGGGAAGGGGCTGGGAAAGGGGAAGGGGCTGGGAAAGGGGAAGGGGCTGGGAAAGGAAAGGGGAAGGGGCTGAGGAAACGCCCCAGGGCCGCAGCGGTGTCACCGGGCCGAGCGGGACACTGTCTGTGCATGGTTCTCCAGGTGCCCCAGCGAAGGGAACCGGTGACTCTGCAGGTGGGACAGCCCCTGCCCTCCTGGGATAGGGAGAACTTTGGGGAGCTCCAGAGTGGGGGGAGCTTACATCAACTTCAGATCCACTCTTCACTTTTCCTGCACTTGGTGCTGAATCTGTGTCACCCCTTATGTCACCCCTTTGTGTCACCCCTTTGTGTCACCCCTTTGTGGCACCCTCTGTGCCACCTGCAGCACGGTGCTCTTTCCATCCTGGGCTGCAGCCAGGCAGTGTTGCAGCAATACCCCCCGGCATTACTGATGATGCAAGAACGATTGCATCATCGTCGCCATCACCATCATCGGCTGCAGGTCCGTCGGAGCAGCCGCTGCTCTGGCAGCAGGAATGCTCTGGGTTCCATGCACACCTCAGCAGCTAAAGCCACGAGAAGTTGTTGGGATTTCCAGCAGATGATGGACTCTGGGTCAGATTTCTTGCCTGATCCGTGTGCTGAGAGGATGGGAATGGCTCTGCTGGGCAGTGTATAGAAATTAAAATATCAGCTGATGTTGTAGCAGCAGTTTTAGGGAGAGGTTGGTGCGTGTGGAAGGAGGCAAAGCTCCCTCCCTCCCTTCCCTGCTGCTCCCCGGGCTTTGATGCCCCCACACCGCTGGGTTCCCTGCCCACGAGAGGTGCCAGGGCACTGCTGAGCTGCCCAAGAAGGGGCAGGGCCCGTGAATCGAGGGGTTTTCCCCTGTCCAGAGCTGAGCTGTGCGGGGTGTGTGGGGCACTGAGTCACCCCTGGCTCCTGACATCCCGCACGTCCCGGAGGCTGCCCCTGCCCCGAGCAGCGCCGCGCTCCAAGGAAACGCTCCTGCTGAAAATTGGGTTGCTCTTTTTTTTCCTACAAGTTCTGAGTCTGCTTAGGAAATTGTATTGCAAGACTGGCTGTAAAAGTTGCTAAAGACTTGTCTATCCCTCCTCAGCGTCTGGGTTTTTTTACTTTAAATAAAGGGTCCTTATCTTCTCTGCCAACTTGGCAGCCGAGGTTGCAGCCGATTCCTGAGTTCGGGCTGAGTTTTTTCTCTTCTGCAATGCTCAGAAAAATGGCCATTGGAGAAAAGATAGCTGGAGGAGACAGCGACCAGACAGGGGAAGTTCAAGGTCACGGCTGCTCCCGCAGCTCTTTGGGGGTCACGGTGCTGCTCCAGGGAGAGCTGGGGCTGCTCCCGGCCCCACACAAAGGCCGCTGTGAACCCTTGGAGTTGTGACATTTCACTTACAAAAGTGATTTTCGGTTGGTTTTGGCTTTTTCAGGCAGGGTTTTGTTGCCTGCTGAGCCTTGTGTCTGCAAGTCTTTTCCTGAGGGCTGGGAAGGGTGCTCTTGTTGGTAAAATGCTGATGGAGATGTCCCTGCGTTCCCAAAGTACTGAGAGCTGGAGCTTTTGGGCTGACACGGAGCTCAGGATAATTTAATAACTGTTTAGTTTCATAATAAACTAATCAGCTGATAATCACCTCTGGCAAACACTTCTCATAGCAGCACTCAGATTGTGTTCATCTAATTTGACAACATTTAATTCCATTTTGGTTTAGATTTCAGTAACAAAGGCTGTGCAAGCTCGTCGTGTGGACATTTAAATTGAATTAAGTGGATAAAACGATTAATGATTAACACCAAATTAGACTAATTTTAGCTGTTCTAAATCTTATTTAGGAGAGTCTGCATGAGGATGTTGTCCGGTTTAATCGCAACTTTGATTAAAGCAGGCTCTGTCCTGGGGGAGCCGCGGGAGTTTCACGTCACGGGGGGAAGAGCTGAGCCCGAACCTCCCGAGCAGCGGCAGCAGCGCGGCTCAGCCCGAATCCGGCCGGGATAGAGCGGGGATGGAGAGGGGATGGAGAGGGGATGGAGCGGGGATGGAGCGGGGATGGAGAGGGGATGGAGTGGGGATGGAGAGGGGATGGAGCCGGGATGGAATGGGGATGGAGAGGGGATGGAGAGGGGATGGAGAGGGGATGGAGAGGGGATGGAGAGGGGATGGAGTGGGGATGGAGAGGGGATGGAGTGGGGATGGAGAGGGGATGGAGAGGGGATGGAGCGGGGATGGAGCGGGGAAGGAGCGGGGGTGGAGTGGGGATGGAGTGGGGATGGAGTGGGGATGGAGAGGGGATGGAGCGGGGATGGAGAGGGGATGCAGCAGCTCGGGCACGATGCTCCAGAGCCGCCCGGAGCCGCCGGCCGGGCAGATCTGCTGGAGCTGCTCGGGGATGCTCAGCTGTGGCAGCTGGGTGCTCTGCCAGGGCTGAGCGTCCTCCTGGCACGGGTCACCTCGGCACCCGGGGGTGACCTTGGCCGTGCTCTGGGGCGCGGAGCGAGCCCGGCTGCCAGCCCTGAGGAGGTGCTCGGCTCCGGTTTCACCGGCCCGGGGCTGGCACATTCCTCAGCCCGGGCTGGCACACTCCTTCTGCCCGGGCTGGCACATTCCTCAGCCCGGGCTGGCACGCTCCCTCTGCCCGGGCTGGCACACTCCCGGCTGGCACGGCAGGCGCTGGCCATGCCGCGGGTGCGTGCTGGAGGCTCCGGGAGGAGGAGAGCTGCCCTGGGAGGGGCTGGAGGGACAGAACACTCCCAGAACACTCCCAGAACTGTTACTATGGCACACGAGAAAGAACGATGCCAGCTGCTGTTATTGCCGTGGTAAAAGACTTAATTTATTTCTTTTTTTACTCCAGCACTTAGAGTTTTCCAAAGGTGGCAGTGGATTGGAGGGTGAAGGTGCCACCTCTCCAAAGAACTGGACAAACCACCAGTCTGTCAAATCTCCCTGCCTCTATGAAGGAATGCAGAACAATCAGTTATTTACAGAATGTGTGTGAGAAGGTTTGCTACAAGAATGTAAACTCAGAAGGCTTTAGAAAATCCTGGTCACTGCGGTGCCCTGGTCACTGTGCTGCCCTGGTCACTCTGGTGCCCTGGTCACTGTGCTGCCCTGGTCACTGTGCTGCCCTGGTCACTGTGGGGCCCTGGTCACTGTGGTTCCTGGTCACTGTGGTGCCCTGTGCGGGCTCCGAGGGGCGATGCCAGCCCCGGGCCGGTCCCAGAGGCACAGGGACTCTGCTGCTGGTGCCCAGCACTGTCCAGTCCCCCTGCCTCTGGGGACAGCTCCTGGAGCATGGCACAGCCACAGTGGGCTGGGCAGCAGCACGGGAACCACACGGAGCTGCCGCCTCATCCCCCACGGGTCCCGAGTGGGTCGGGCACTGCCCGTGCCCAGCTGAGCTCCGTGGGCTGTGCCCACCCTCAGCCCAGCCAGGCAGGGCAGCAAAGGTGGGACCAGCCTCTGTTCTACCTGGGCAGCTCCGAGCTGGCAGGCAGGAGCAGCAAACAGCGCGTCCTGCGTGTCACACGGGGGAATCTGTGCCTCAAAGGGCGTCCTAAATGTCCCTAAATGTTCGTGCAAACATCTGCCCTGGGAGAGGCTTTTGGGGGGTTCGCTGGCTGGCACAGGGGTGCAGAGACCCCTCCATTCCACGGCCTGGAAAGCCTAAACCCCCAGAGGGGAGCTGGCTGCTTTCCTAATGGAATATTTTCCTGTTTAGAAAATGGGGACGTGACAAAAATAACGCTGCAAGGATAATTTTATCAAGGTCCCGGTGGAAAGTGAGCACAGTGCCAGCCTGTGCCCTGCCAGCTCTGCACCGTGTCCCTCATGCCTGGGGGGCTGTGCCCAGCCCTGCTGCCCCACGGGGATACTGGGGATACTGGGGGTACTGGGGATACTGGGGGTACTGGGGCATTCTGTGCCGACCCATCGTGGGCCAGGCCACAGGGGGTGGGGAAAGGAGCTGGGGGGAAAAGGAAAACCCAATTTAAGGACAAATCCTGAGCCTTTGCTTTGCTGTCCAAGTGGTGTGGAAGGGATCTGGGGCACCTCTGTGCTCCTGTGCTGGGCTGGGCGTGGAGCAGGTCCTGAGCTCTGGCTGTGCCTCCCTGGCTGCAGGGCCCTGCCCAGCTGTGCCCGCAGCTGGCACTGCTGCAGGGCTGCACTGGAGCCTGCGGCCACAGGGCTGCTGCACTTTGGAGCCAGCTCCCAGGGTTATTGGAATTTAAACCTAAAGTAGGTCAGTGGCGTTTTGGTCCAAAGTTTTATTTGCTTTCAGAGCAGGTTTTCAGAACACGAATTGGAATTTCGTCAGGAATTCCTGAAATGCTTTTAAAGGAGATCAGGGTAATTAGCAAAGGAGTGATTTAAATCATCTCTGCTGGAATAAGGAGGTGGTTTGCTGGTCAGATTTG